TGTGTTCATCAGCCAGGAGGGACGTAGATTTCAGCCTCCATATTCTTTCACTGCAATGTTGTAGACAATCTGGTGAGATGTCCATCTGCCAGGAGGGACTGCTAGAGAAGCTGGCATCTGTAAGTCAACCCTGTCCACGTGGATACCACAGCCTCCACATGCCATGTATTACAATGTACAGTGGAGCCAGGACTATACAACACCTACAAATGACTATTCTCTTATGTTATATGAACATGTGTACTGATTAAAAATAATTTTCTAATACTTCAGAGGACAAAAACTCCATAACCCATGAATTAAATCTTGAAAATGTCATCACAAAATGGTTTCCAGATTAGCAGGGTCCAGTCTTATGAGGTTGAGCTGTATCCAACACAAAATGATTTATGCAGAAAATAAGCACTGGTGGGATTGTCTGAGACCTTGTCAACTGACAATACATTTCATTTACCATTGTGATTTATTCAGTCACACAAACTACACCACAGTGTGTACACACACAAAAATATGAAAGCATTTATTGAAGCAACAATGAGACTTTATGTGATATCTATTGTACACATAAGATAAACCCTGTACACATACATACACATGACTTTACAAGCAGAATGTTTGGGGATACATTCATCTTTTTTATTGTTTCCATATGTCTCCTTGAGGAAAAGTAAAGAAAGATACAGAGCACACTAACATCTATTCCATATACTCTTTTTAAGCAAACATAAAATATACATTCACAGATGAGACACAAGAAAGGACAATCTTATTTACACTTGTTCAGTTTATTCTCAGTGGCCAATTTAGGTTCATTCAGAGCTGTTATAAAACTAGTTCTTAATCAAAATAGCTCACCAGCTTCAAATATTTCTGTGCCAACAGATACTAAACACAAATCAAAATTCCAACTTCATTCAATGCTGTCCCTACCATGTACAATCATTATCATTCAATGATGTCCCTACCATGTGCATTCATTATCATTCAATGCTGTCCCTACCATGTAGTCATTATCATTCAATGGTATCCCTACCATGTACAGTCATTATCATTCAATGCTGCCCCTACCATGTACAGTCATTATCATTCAATGCTGTCCCTACTATGTGCAGTCATTATCATTCAATGCTGTCCCTACCATGTACAGTCATTATCATTCAATGCTGTCCCTACCATATACAATCATTATCATTCAATGCTGTCCCTACCATGTACAATCATTATCATTCAATGCTGTCCCTACCATGTAGTCATTATCATTCAATGCTGTCTTTACCATGTGCATTCATTATCATTCAATGGTGTCCCTACCATGTACAATCCTTATCATTCAATGCTGTCCCTACCATGTACAATCATTATCATTCAATGCTGTCCCTACCATGTACAATCATTATCATTCAATGCTGTCCCTACCATGTACAGTCATTATCATTCAATGATGTCCCTACCATGTAGTCAATATCATTCAATGTTGTCCCTACCATGTACAGTCATTATCATTCAATGCTGTCCCTACCATGTACAATCATTATCATTCAATGCTGTCCCTACCATGTACAGTCATTATCATTCAATGTTGTCCCTACCATGTACAGTCATTATCATTCAATGTTGTCCCTACCATGTACAGTCATTATCATTCAATGCTGTCCCTACCATGTACAGTCATTATCATTCAATGCTGTCCCTACCATGTACAGTCATTATCATTCAATGCTGTCCCTACCATGTACAGTCATTATCATTCAATGCTGTCCCTACCATGTACAGTAATTATCATTCAATGCTGTCCCTACCATGTACAGTCATTACATTCAATGATGCCGCTACCACTTAGTCATTATCATTCAAAGTTGTCCCTACCATGTACAATCATTATCATTCAATGCTGTCCCTACCATGTACAATCATTATCATTCAATGCTGTCCCTACCATGTACAGTCATTATCATTCAATGCTGTCCCTACCATGTACAATCATTATCATTCAATTCTGTCCCTACCATGTACAGTCATTACATTCAATGCTGCCGCTACCACTTAGTCATTATCATTCAAAGTTGTCCCTACCATGTACAGTCATTATCATTCAATGTTGTCCCTACCATGTAGTCATTATCAATCAATGCTCTCCCTACCATGTACAGTCATTATCATTCAATGCTGTCCCTACCATGTCCCATCATTATCATTCAATGCTGTCCCTACCATGTACAATCATTATCATTGAATGCTGTCCCTACCATGTCCCATCATTATCATTCAATGTTGTCCCTACCATGTACAAATATTATCATTGAATGTTGTCCCTACCATGTCCCATCATTATCATTCAATGCTGTCCCTACCATGTACAGTCATTATCATTCAATGCTGTCCCTACCATGCCCCATCATTATCATTCAATGCTGTCCCTACCATGTAAAGTCATTATCACTCAATGCTGTCCCTACCATGTACAGTCATTATCATTCAATGCTGTCCCTACCATGTAAAGTCATTATCATTCAATGTTGTCCCTACCATGTACAATCATTATCATTGAATGCTGTCCCTACCATGTCCCATCCTTATCATTCAATGCTGTCCCTACCATGTACAGTCATTATCATTCAATGTTGTCCCTACCATGTACAGTCATTATCATTCAATGCTGTCCCTACCATGTACAGTCATTATCATTCAATGCTGTCCCTACCATGTACAATCATTATCATTCAATGCTGTCCCTACCATGTACAGTCATTATCATTCAATGCTGTCCCTACCATGTACAGTCATTATCATTCAATGCTGTCCCTACCATGTACAGTCATTATCATTCAATGCTGTCCCTACCATGTACAGTCATTACATTCAATGCTGCCCCTACCACTTAGTCATTATCATTCAAAGTTGTCCCTACCATGTACAATCATTATCATTCAATGCTGTCCCTACCATGTACAGTCATTATCACTCAATGCTGCCCCTACCACTTAGTCATTATCATTCAAAGTTGTCCCTACCATGTACAGTCATTATCATTCAATGTTGTCCCTACCATGTAGTCATTATCAATCAATGCTCTCCCTACCATGTACAGTCATTATCATTCAATGCTGTCCCTACCATGTCCCATCATTATCATTCAATGCTGTCCCTACCATGTACAATCATTATCATTCAATGCTGTCCCTACCATGTCCCATCTTTATCATTCAATGTTGTCCCTACCATGTACAAATATTATCATTGAATGCTGTCCCTACCATGTCAGATCATTATCATTCAATGCTGTCCCTACCATGTACAATCATTATCATTCAATGCTGTCCCTACCATGCCCCATCATTATCATTCAATGCTGTCCCTACCATGTAAAGTCATTATCACTCAATGCTGTCCCTACCATGTACAGTCATTATCATTCAATGCAGTCCCTACCATGTAAAGTCATTATCATTCAATGTTGTCCCTACCATGTACAATCATGATCATTGAATGCTGTCCCTACCATGTCCCATCATTATCATTCAATGCTGTCCCTACCATGTACAATCATTATCATTGAATGCTGTCCCTACCATGTACAATCATTATCATTCAATGCTGTCCCTACCATGTAAAGTCATTATCACTCAATGCTGTCCCTACCATGTACAATCATTATCACTCAATGCTGTCCCTACCATGTCCCATCATTATCATTCAATGCTGTCCCTACCATGTAAAGTCATTATCACTCAATGCTGTCCCTACCATGTCCCATCATTATCATTCAGTGCTGTCCCTACCATGTACAATCATTATCATTCAATGCTGTCCCTACCATGTCCCATCATTATCATTCAATGCTGTCCCTACCATGTAAAGTCATTATCACTCAATGCTGTCCCTACCATGTCCCATCATTTTCATTCAATGCTGTCCCTACCATGTAAAGTCATTATCACTCAATGCTGTCCCTACCATGTCCCATCATTATCATTCAATGCTGTCCCTACCATGTAAAGTCATTATCACTCAATGCTGTCCCTACCATGTAAAGTCATTATCATTCAATGCTGTCCCTACCATGTAAAGTCATTATCACTCAATGCTGTCCCTACCATGTAAAGTCATTATCACTCAATGATGTCCCTACCATGTAAAGTCATTATCACTCAATGCTGTCCCTACCATGTCCCATCATTATCATTCAATGCTGTCCCTACCATGAAAAGTCATTATCACTCAATGCTGCCCCTACCATGTAAAGTCATTATCACTCAATGCTGTCCCTACCATGTACAGTCATTATCACTCAATGCTGTCCCTACCATGTAAAGTCATTATCATTCAATGCTGTCCCTACCATGTAAAGTCATTATCATTCAATGCTGTCCCTACCATGTAAAGTCATTATCACTCAACGCTGTCCCTACCATGTAAAGTCATTATCATTCAATGCTGTCCCTACCATGTACAGTCATTATCATTCAATGCTGTCCCTACCATGTAAAGTCATTATCATTCAATGCTGTCCCTACCATGTAAAGTCATTATCATTCAATGCTGCCCCTACCATGTAAAGTCATTATCACTCAATGCTGTCCCTACCATGTAAAGTCATTATCACTCAATGCTGCCCCTACCATGTAAAGTCATTATCACTCAATGCTGTCCCTACCATGTAAAGTCATTATCACTCAATGCTGCCCCTACCATGTAAAGTCATTATCACTCAATGCTGTCCCTACCATGTAAAGTCATTATCACTCAATGCTGTCCCTACCATGTAAAGTCATTATCACTCAATGCTGTCCCTACCATGAAAAGTCATTATCACTCAATGCTGCCCCTACCATGTAAAGTCATTATCACTCAATGCTGTCCCTACCATGTACAGTCATTATCACTCAATGCTGCCCCTACCATGTAAAGTCATTATCATTCAATGCTGTCCCTACCATGTAAAGTCATTATCACTCAATGCTGTCCCTACCATGTAAAGTCATTATCATTCAATGCTGCCCCTACCATGTCCCATCATTATCATTCAATGCTGTCCCTACCATGTCCCATCATTATCATTCAATGCTGTCCCTACCATGTCCCATCATTATCATTCAATGCTGTCCCTACCATGTACAATCATTATCATTCAAAGAGTTTTTTGAAGGCCATTGTTTTCTCTGAAGAAAGAAATTAACTTAATTGATTAAAAATATTTCAGCTGAATACACCAGCAAAAGATCTAGTTAAATCATGAAATACTTTCTAACAATGTGTACTAAGATTGAGTGGCAGAACAAACTAGTAAAACCCCCTTTTTAAAGAGAACTGAATCATTATGATAAGTGAATGAAATGTGGTCCATACAGTGCTTCTTAGAATGACAATTGAAAGATTTACTTTCCCTCCCCTAAGTTTGAGGGTTTGGTTTATTACTGAAATTTGTTTCCAGCTTTGGAAGGTAAATAAAAATATACAACCCAATACAATGGGTTTTTTCTTCTGCATATGTGAGCATTCAGGCCTGAGATTTGAATGCAAGTAAGATATATATAACAATCCTGATCTACAAATGTCATAGAATCGACCTGCCTGTCAATCATAAAAACAAAGCCTTTAAAAAATAAACGTCAATGTGGAATTGATTTATTTTAGACACTGCTTGAGTTTCATTAGAATCATTTATAATGCATCAATCGTCGTAGCATTACAATTAAGTTCATGCAATCTGAACCATCCTATATATCAATCGTAATGATAATGATGAGAAACAACTGTGTTCAAGGCTGCTGTCTGCAGAGTTTCTAACACTGACAACTAAGAGTGAGTGAGTGAGTTGGATTTTACGGCGCAATATTCCAGCAATATCACGGCAGGGGACACCAGAAATGGGCTTCACACATTGTACCCATGTCGGGAATCGAACCCGGGATTTTGATGTGGTGAGTGAATGCTTTAACCACCAGGCTACCCAACCGGCCCTGAAAACTAAGAAGGCACAACCCCTATACAACACAAGCATGTCAATCATCAAACTGAAACTTGGTTCATAAGTCAAACGTCTTTACTCCACCTGCATCAATTAGAAACACATTTCTTCCAGTATTCTACACACAGACAAACATGTATTTGCTTACATTGTCATATCTGTGCTTGGCTTCCGTTCCACAGAGAATATTAGCGACTACACAACTCCCACACACTTAAAAAGACTTGCAGTAAGATGGCTTTGTGGCCCTGTTTCACAAAGTGATCACACCGCTAAGTCATAAATCTATGTTTAAGTATTGGAATTATGATAGTGTAAGCGCTGAGACTGTCGTAAATCAAATTTGATTTTATTGTGAGCATTTGTGATTAAGCATGCCCTGAAGTACAAAAAGGTTTCTATGTTCACTAGACTTGTCCTGTATGCAAGGTGCGACATTATGCAACAAGATTTAAACATGTTTTGTTTTCAGCATAGAGATAACATATTTTCTACACAATTCTGAAATGACATAAAAAGGATGATGAAGGGTTTTCTTGTTTTAACACATCATACTGAAGACACGCAGACAACCAAGTCTAAAGAAAAGAGTCTCGCGTCATCTCATCTCACTTGACTATATCACACTAATCAAAAACACTCGCATCTCTAACCTTCCTGATTGATTGTCTCAAAATTATATCAGTATTCAAGAATTGTATCATTTAAAACTCAGAACACCGTTTCGACACATATTTCCAAATGCATTGTACTGATAAAAACAAAACGAGATTATTCGTAAAAAATTCATTGTGGCTCACTAACATGGAAAAAGACAGGCTCCCCATCTACAAACAAATCTCCTTACGTCTATATCAAACAGAGGTGAAAACAATAGCACATGTAAGCCAGGAGCTGATAACATATCACACATGATTCTGTAGAACGATTCAAAGTAGATAATTTTACCAGACACTTAACCACTAGGCTATCCCACTGTCCCCAATACATCACACTGGCAGTTGTGTGTTGTGATGCCGTTGTGATACTGGACTGTACAGCTGTACCAACGACATCACAATCATAGTGCAACATGGACCATCCCACTGTGACATGACTGTACAAGAACATTATCTACAACCACCCAGGTCTTCATCCTTCCACCGCCATCAGCCTGCATCAGGTGCTGGTCTTGGCTGGTGGTTCTGTATTGCTGGTCTCGGGAGCCTTCTTCGGAACTTTCTCACTGACCCGACGGAACTCCAAGTGCAAGCCGCCAGTTGTGTGGCCAGACATTCTGTCAAAGTTGATCTCACTTCTGTAAAAGACACTTCATCATATAATACATATCATAAATGTACGTTTCAATCCATTACAATGAAGAGAGTGGATTGTTAAAACTTCCCCCTGAATATGAAACTGCCCTCGCATACGAAACGAGTTTGGGAATCACTTTACGGCAGCCATTTTGGTTTGCTTGAGGCTGGCAGTAAGAGACAAAATGTGCATGACATGTATTGTATTTTTTTTCTGGTGAGTACAAGAATATAAAGAACCTGTGTATGTAACATGAATGAGGTCACATAACACAGTCAGCAATATTACAGTTATGTCAGAAAAGCCTGTTATTACACCATAACAACTCTGACCTGCAGCATGCTGAGCGTGAGAAACCATCGTGTAATACCATTCATTGGACACCACTGAGACACCCTTTATTAGGAGACACCACTGAGACACCCTTTATTAGGAGACGGCATTGTGAGACATCCTTGTGTGACACCTTTCATCATAAGACACCATAGTGAGACATCCTTTATTAGGAGACACCACTGAGACACCCTTTATTAGGAGACACCATTGTGAGACATCCTTGTGTGACACCTTTCATTGTAAGACACCATTGTGAGACATCCTTTATGTGACACCTTTCATCATAAGACACCATTGTGAGACACCATTGTGAGACATCCTTGTGTGACACCTTTCATTGTAAGACACCATTGTGAGACATCCTTTATGTGACACCTTTCATCATAAGACACCATTGTGAGACATTCTTGTGTGACACCTTTCATTGTGAGACACCCTTTATTAGCAGACACCACTGAGACACCCTTTTTAGCAGACACCACCGAGACACCCTTTATTAGCAGACACCACTGAGACACCCTTTATTAGCAGACACCACTGAGACACCCTTTATTAGCAGACACCACTGAGACACCCTTTTACAGCAGACACCACCGAGACACCCTTTATAAGGAGACACCACTGAGACACCCTTTATTAGCAGACACCACTGAGACACCCTTTATTAGCAGACACCACTGAGACACCAATTAATAGCAGACACTACTGAGGCACCCTTATTAGGAGACACCACTGAGACACCCTTTATTGGGAGACATCACTGAAACACCCTTTATTAGGAGACACCTTTGAGACACCCTTTATTAGCAGACACCACTGAGACACCCTTTATGAGGAGACACCTCTGAGACACCCTTTATTAGCAGACACCACTGAGACACCCTTTCGTAGCAGGCACCACTGAGACACCCTTTATTAGGAGACACCACTGAGACACCCTTTTACAGCAGACACCACTGAGACACCCTTTATTAGGAGACACCACTGAGACACCCTTTATTAGCAGACACCACTGAGACACCCTTTATGAGGAGACACCTGAGACACCCTTTATTAGCAGACACCACTGAGACACCCTTTAGTAGCAGACACCACTGAGACACCCTTTATTAGGAGACACCACTGAGACACCCTTTTACAGCACACCACTGAGACACCCTTTATTAGGAGACACCACTGAGACACCCTTTATTAGCAGACACCACTGAGACACCCTTTATGAGGAGACACCTGAGACACCCTTTATTAGCAGACACCACTGAGACACCCTTTAGTAGCAGACACCACTGAGACACCCTTTATTAGGAGACACCACTGAGACACCCTTTTACAGCACACCACTGAGACACCCTTTATTAGGAGACACCTTTGAGACACCCTTTATTAGCAGACACCACTGAGACACCCTTTATGAGGAGACACCTCTGAGACACCCTTTATTAGGAGACACCACTGAGACATCCTTTATGAGGAGACACCTCTGAGACACCCTTTATTAGGAGACACCTCTGAGACACCCTTTATTAGCAGACACCACTGAGACACCCTTTATGAGGAGACACCTCTGAGACACCCTTTATTAGCAGACACCACTGAGACACCCTTTATTAGCAGACACCACTGAGACACCCTTTATTAGGAGACACCTTTGAGACACCCTTTATGAAGAGACACCTCTGAGACACCCTTTAGTAGCAGACACCACTGAGACACCCTTTATTAGCAGACACCACTGAGACACCCTTTTACAGCAGACACCACTGAGACACCCTTTTACGGCAGACACCACTGAGACACCCTTTATTAGCAGACACCACTGAGACACCCTTTATTAGGAGACACCAATGTTAGGTACCCTTCATTGTGAGACACCCTTGTGTGACACCTTTCATTGTAAGACACCCTTTTTTAGTAGACACCATGTGAGACACCATGTGAGACATCCTTGTGTGACACCATTCATTATAATACACCATATGTAACAGCCTTTATTGTGAGACACCCTTGTGAAACAGCCCATATTGCAAAACACCATTGTAAGTGTAAGCATGGTTAGAAAACCATGAATGAATGCTTACTTTTACCCTGCAGTTAGTAACATTGATCCATGATGTTGGATGACAAGGACACAGAATGAGACAAGACACACAATCAGCTGTGTCACACATTGTTACATCCAGTCTACAGCAGGGCCTATTTCACCCCTAAAAAATACTTACTCTCTTTCAGCCATTGTAAAGGTGTACTTCCTTGCCTTCATGTAGACTGCATACTTGTCCTCAATCTTACTGCTCTCATCAATGTCTAGCCAGGCACTGCCTCGTTGCTGCGTCGTCCGACACTGCCACTTCAGCTTGGTTTCCATCTCCACATCATCATCCTCCTTTTCTGCCTCGCCTTCACCCGAAACAACTGACTGTGCCCGCGGAGGAAGTCTGCTGTGGCTAGCAGCACCTCTCTTGCTCATCATCATTGATCTTTTCAACGCTTTCAAGATCTCATCCTTGGGATTTTTCTCACTTGTCGACATGCCATAACGTTCTAGAATAGCAGCAGGCTGACTATGGCTTATATCATGGCGGAAGCGGCATTTCTTATCCTCTGATTTGCAAAAGCCGAGAATGTAATCTTCACATATATGCAAGAAAGGGCAGCTGTTGTTTCTGGAATTCTTACAGCCCCAGAATGTGTTGTAAAACCTGCACACAACTGGCAACGTGGTGCGGTTCCGGTACTTCAAATTCAGAAGAACTTTTTGAGCTAAACGAGGTGGAAACTTGTGAAGAAGAGATTTTCTCAAGATGTACTTGTTATATTTGGAGTCCATATCATGACCAAACAAACATCTTTTCCCAGTATCTACAATGTCACATTTGCTGAGCACGAAATAACGACAAACATGAAGAGACTTGCACTTCCCTTTACAAGATGAAGCTTTTGTTGAATGAGACAAACACAATCGTAGTGTTGGTGTAGCGGTCACGTTCAGGTGGTCATCCTTGTCGTCTGCCGTCTCCTCGGCAGCTTCTCCAGCACCTTCTTCCTCTTTCGGCTTCTTCACCTCTTCTTCAGTTTCAGGCTTTGGTTTATCAGTGTCCATGTCCGGGGTTGAGCTTCCGGGCTCTTCTTTGTCCTCCATCTTCTCTTCCTCCTGTTCCTTTGATGCTTCAGTCTTTTCTTCTTTCACTGCTTCTTCTGCTTCTTTCTTGTCCTCCTCCTTCTCCCCCTCCTCCTCCACCTTCTCCGCCACTTTCTCCTCTACTTTCTCTTCCTCTTTTACTTCTTCCATTGAGGCCTCTGCAGGCTCTTCCTTGACATCGGTGTCTGCCTCTTCAGACAAGGTTGTCACTAGGAATACACTTTTGTATTTCAGAAGGAATTCCTTCAGATTTGTGGAACTGTTGAAAACAGCCACATCCTTCATGATCAGCTCAAGGCGTAATCCATTCAGGGTGCAGCTGCCGTCCAGATTTTCAAAAAGAATCAACAAAATACTACTAGCAAGGTCATCAAGGTTGTTCTTCTCCATCTTAGAGATGTCTTCCTCTGTTGGTGGGCTCACTTCCTCTGTCAGCGTACTCGATACTTTATTTTCATCCATCTTTTCATCACCTTCCGCATCTTTGGTTGTTTCTACTTTTTCTTCCTCTTCATCCTCCTCTTCATCTTCAATCCCGCTCCATTCCGAACTGGACGGATCATCACGATTTCTGTCATGATGTTCATAATGTCTGCGCCTATACGGGCGGGGATGGTAGCTGTCATCCCTCCTGTGCTGATAACTGCCTCTTCCTCTCCCTCTTCTTTGATAATCCCCCTGCCATTTGTAATCATCTCGACGTTGAATATTATCACGCCGTTCGTAACTCCCTCTTCCCCTCCTACTCATAGGTTCATCCCGATAAATACCTCGTCTCTGAAATCCTTCAGGCTCTCTTCTGGAGCCATGATTATCATAGCTTCTCCGCCTTTCTCCATGTCTGTGACGCGAGTCATCATAGTCCTCGTCGCGATGATAGCTGTCATGACCACCCCGCCTGTCATCAATCCAATCATCATCGTCAAACTGTTGGCTCTTGCGCGTGTAGTACTGAGTCTCCATGTCATACCTCTTGTCATACTGGTCATCGTGATAGTCCGATCTGCTGTCGTAGTCATCCCGTCTCCTACGCTTATTTGGGGATCTCTCATAGTACTGGCCGTCATCATACTCATCATAGTTGTCATCATCATAGCGAGGGCCTCTTCTTTCTTCTTGATAGCCTGACAGAACAAAGATTTCCTTTTGTATAGCTTGGAAAAGGAAAATGACATTTTACAAATGCTTGTTTGTTTATTTATTTGTTGTTTAACGCCACGTTCAGCACTATTCAAGCTATATGACGATGGTCTGTAAATAATCGAGTCTGGACCAGACAGTCAAGTGATTGACATCATGAGCATTGTTCCACGCAATTGGGATCGATGACATGCATCAACCAAGTCAGCGAGACTGACCACCCGATCCCGTTAGTCGCCTCTTACGACAAGCATAGTCGCCTTTTACAGCAAGCATGGGTTGGTGAAGACCTATTCTACCCCGGAATCTTCACGGGTCAGAATGGCTGGGAACCTTACTTCACTAGTCATCAGGGATTGGAGCTACTCCACCTTGAACAATACAAACAATGTTTATGACTCTCAATTTATTCAGGACCAACTGGCCATGGAAACTAGATTACACCCCAGTAACTCTTCAAACACACACATCATTGGGTAGCTAAAACCGTATGTACATTGAACTCTTTTCTTATATATTTCAATGCTCCACTTGAGCAATATTCCAGCTATGTGATGGCAGTCTGTAAAATAATCGAGTCTGGACCAGGCAATCCAGTGATCGATATTGATAGCAACAATCCACTTCAACGTTTATTTGTTTGTTTGTTGTTTAACGCTGCACTCAGCAATATACTCAAACAAACAAACAAACAAAGATTACCATATTCGACGTAATAAGCGCCTCGCTCTAATAAGCGCCCACCGAGCATTTGCTAAGATATTGGCTAGTGACTGTCCCAATTAGCACCCCTTCCGATCAATCAGTGACACAAGACTTATTTATTCATGCATAATACGTACTTGTGTGTTATATGCACCCTTAATTATGGGCATTTAATTATGGCAAAATATATCTGTCATACATAAACATTTCAGGCTGTCAGCATAAACCACAAAATTTATCTTTCAACTGTTTTTTTTCACCAAAATAATATTTTAATAAGAGGCCCCTATTTCTAATTTTGAGAGCGCCCTGGGCGCTTATTACGCCGAATACGGTACCCCACTATGACTAGATAGGCCGGCAGCTGATCCCATTAAGTATTTCTCAGTCAATAATGCAATGAGAAATATAGTTATTAAAGTGATAGAACCAGAACTGTATCCATCAGCTCGCTACATGTCAAGAAGCTCAGAACCATTGTTGTTTCTAAGTCCATAAACACATCTTCAGCCTACCTCTACGATGTGAGGAATGACTGGACTGTCTGCGGTCGTCACGGTAACGTTGTCTGTCCATGATATGTCAGATGTGGGAAGTAAGTTGATATTTACACCGCACAAGTTTGGTCCATCTGGAATACAAACATGTATGTTTAAAATTAATTTCTAATATCACACATCCGGCCACAACACGACATATATCAGCACACACTTACATTACATTAGTCATATTAATAGATAGTGATATTCAACTAGGGGGGGCACGGGTGGCCCAGTCATCTAAGGCGCTGCGATTCGCTGTGCAGAGTTGCGTCCCTTAGGCACGCCAGAAACCTATGATTGTGGGTTCGAATCCTGGTTCGCCCCGTTTATGTTTCTAGGTTTGTCAGCACCATACCCATGCTCGTGGGTTTCACCGAAGTGGTAAACATCTGAGACCTGGATCACTTCAGGCTTTCCTCCGAAACTAAGCTGACACGCCGTGATATGACTGGAATACTGTTAAAAGCGGCGTTAAACCCAACTCACTCACTATTCTCTAACTAGGATATGGCACTAGGGCAGTTCATTGGCCATATATTGATACAGGTATCAGTATTGTGATACGTATTGCAATATATTTGGAGATAAAAAGAGTTTAAAAGTGATTGATGCTGATTGCATGCAGATACTTTTTTCTACATACCAAAGTTTCCGCTACTGTGTAGTCATGGATACACGGGAGATAACAATGTAAGAGAAGAATCACTTCAATATCATTTGTGAACGGATTTCTGTGTAGATTTGGGTTAAACAATATAAATAATAACGAAAAACTTGTTCTCTTTGTTTACCCCATACATCAGAACAGAGACAAATATTGCAAATGTATCGTTTAAAAAGTGGTATACCGGAATACTGGTAACATCGTGCAGACCTAGATGACACACATATCACCCAAAGGCTACATTACAGAAGAATGGGCACATTCAAACGACACATCACTGTACTCTACATTAAAAAGGTTACATTCATATATCTGTACATTCAACCACAATATGCCATATATCACCATACATTACATTACAAAAAGCTGGGCTCGAAAAATCCACTCGTCTGCTCGTCGTGACGAGAGAAAGAAGTGAAGAAGCACTCTTCCTACAGGGCAAGTACATTTATTTCAATCGTATCAAGTGACCCCTAATCGTTTTCAATAAAATATGCAGAATCATTTCCATGTGTAGCGGCCATAAAATTTCCGTGATGGGATTTGAACCACGGACCTTCTAATCCGAGGTCGGATGCCTTGTCCACATGACAGAAGAGGTTAACCCTGTCAGCAAGCTTACAAGGTAAGGATGTCATCTGTGGGATGACTCCACGCCCTGCTACATACTCCACCCTCAACAGAACGCACGTCCCGGGACGCCTATTTTGCTCCATTTAATATGACCAGTTCAGCCCCATTTTGGGCGCCAATGTAGCGGCCATCACGTTTCCGAGTCCCATGATGGGATTCAAACCACAGGCCTTCTTATCCGAGGTCGGGCCTTGTCCACATGACAAAAGAGGTTCACCCCGTCAGCAATCTGACAAGGGAAGGATATCATCTGTGGGACACAATTTTCATGCGAAGATACATTTTTTTACTTGCTAAAGTATACATTATTTACTACTTGCTTTGGCCTCCCAGCAATCTTGGCAGTCAAACATCGCAAAATGTGGTGTTTGGGTCCAGGGTGCCGTTATACCAAGCGATCTTAGCGCTAAGGTGAACGTAACTCCCATACCTTAATAGACTTACGACAGTCGTAGCTCTAAGGTTGTTTTGTACAACGGCACCCAGGCCATTTGCTGTATATATACTGTATATATGTTTATAACAAACTACAGTTTAAACAAACTAATATTAGTGGTCCCTTTGTGTTCATTGTAACCGTAGTTTACTGTCTTTTGTCTTATTTGTGATACTGTTTGGGTTTTTCACCTGTTTACTTTTTCATGCATCTAATGGATTCCGTATTCTTTAAAACATTGTCAACACCTGCCTTTTAAGCACAAATAATATCATTTCCTAAAAATAAATGATGCTATCCAAGATTTATCAATATACATCCCATCAGACCAAATGTACAACAATTAACCAGGGCTCTGATATGCTGTTATATCCCTAATTGTAATCATTAATTAACCAGGTCATTATTGAATATGTAGACAAAAGACTAGGCCTAATGTTTCAGTATGAAACTATTCACACCTTGCATAATCTAGGTCACCGAAATACATGCAAGTCTGAAACATATCACACAATTGTTTTTATAATTGCTGTTTGTCTTTCAATCTATCGGACAATCTATGGTACAACATGCCATCTCGTTGCATCACATATGTCATTTTACATCAATCATCAATCGTAAGGCGATGCAAAAGAACCACTTCACATAGGCTAGTTTTTCTGTCTACCTCTCTGTGTTTCACACTACAGATTTCATCATTTCTGCAAAGAAAGTGCATTTTTATTTAAGAAATAATGGTGTAATAAACAAACCAACGCTGTGTGTATCTGGGGATATCGATTGTACATTGGAAGGCACAAACATGAACTCTGTGTTATTGATTGTGATTTTTCAATCCGCATTCTATCTTTCAACTTTTCACACGAGTTCTCGATGAGAACACGTGCGAGAGATCATTGCCTTGTGTGTTGACTGTTATCATTCGAAATGAAGGCATGAACAAAGGTATTTCAAAACACACTAAAAACAAACTAAACCTGTGAAATCGTGCAGAGAACACAATGTTTAAGATCCCAATCGTCAACGTTCGTAGAACCTTTTGGATAAACCAGGGACAGATAACTCTGTTGATAAGATTGGCTCATAAAAACTTCCTGTTTCGTGTCCAAAGAATGGATCGATTCCCTTTCTTTTATTACAATCTGACACAATTATTCATTTTGCAAATAAATTGCATTTTCTAAGTTATTAATATGTTTGATTTGTATCTTTTCCTTTTGGGTGCAATGTTCTAGGACATGTGATGTGCACCAATGTAACAATGAAACCATTGTTGTCCAAGGGAGCCTACTCCTGTCACCTTCATGTCATATTTTGAAACGGACCTAAAATATAGGAATATGTGAATCAAATTTCTTGTTTAAAAATGTGACCTTCTTCGATATATATATTCACATCATCAAATATAAGACTTATTTTTCGAATTCTTATAGTTATTGTATTTAACGGTTGTCTTTGCACGATGGCGAAAAAGGCATGGATATATATGTGGCAGTGACATATATTCAATAGGGTTTATTTCATATCAAATTTTGAACATTATTTTCACAGAATTTCAACTCGGGATTACGGAAATAACTGCCCGTATTAGGACGAAGTTATTAGTGAAACTAACATCTAGTGGCGTAAGAACTTCAAGCAAGACATTTGAGAGGCATTGGAAATATTTATGGGTAACAAGATAGGTTATGTACAGAGGTTCTACGACATAGCGTACAGTGGGTTTTACGACATGGCGTACAGTGGTTCTACGACATAGCGTACATTGGTTTTCGACCAGATACAATTAAAAAACACTGCATACACGACAACATAGTCAAACACCGTTTTGCAAAAAAAATTAAAATAATTAAAATAAATCTTTAAAAAATTGTTATTGTCTTTACCCACCTATGATTGTTAACGAAACATCCGAACAGACGGATTGTGTGTGATTTCGGTATTTTTCGGATTTTCGGTAAATATGTTTACCATTTTTATTTGTGTATGGTCCGAATAAAGTCCTTTAATGCGAGGACACACAAGAATTAAAAGTCAAAAGGTTACAAAACAAATACGCTAGTCGATCGTTATAACTAACAACTGCCAATAAACAACAACAGTTGCAGGGAATCTATCGCCACCTGTTTCAGACTCTTGGTTCTCAGCGTAACCATTCCAAGCAGAGCAAACAAATGTCTAACCACTAAAGTTTGGGTACAAACAGCCTACAAGTGTATGAACTTGAATTGGTAGTAGCAGCTCACTGTATTACTCCATTGAAGCATATTCGTGTTCATACACTGTGTTAATACGGTAATACGTATGAAGGGTTGTCAGTGGGTGACGTCGCTATTGGACTTTATAATCATGCAGTCAATACACACCCAATATGCAAACCCGTGTTTCTTGAGATTGTGATAATCGTGATAATTCACCTGTTGGTTTGTTAGTTAACTGATGTAGGTAATGCATGCAATACACACTTAACACACAAATCACATCGGTTCTTTCTACTTGATACCAAGTATTAACAGGTAAGGGACAGGTTACTCCTTATAGAGGGGTGGGGTTAGGTGAGTGTAAGTGTGGGTTATGAAAAAATGACAGTGAAAGAGGACTGGGTCCGTGAAAAAGTGACACGGTTATATGTTATCAGTTATAAATTTGAACATTTTTAGGGACTGGTCATTTAATATGCGGAGGGTATTTAAAGAAAAATGTCACATGTATTATTACCCACACAACCCCATCCCCACCCCCATAGCCATCCCCACCCTAATAAATGACCAGTCCCTAATTGCTGCGGAATTTGCACATTTTCCTTCCATACAAGGCAACGGAATATTCACTCTCTGTTGTGACCGTGAATTATGAAGGTGAAATATATTGCATAAAAAAATATAAAGTGTTAAAGGATAAGTTCTATATGCGGAACGCTTGGCGTCTAAAATGAAGAATCACTGCTCTTTAAAAAGTTTTGCATGATCGTCGGACGTTCCGATGATTTGTTTGCTTGCACATTATAGTGTATGACTTACGAAAGTTAGTGTGTATATATGATAATTTTATTACATAAGATAAGTTAAAAATATATATATTATCTGCAGCTTTGTTTCAGCGTTCAGTGGGATTTTGTGTGCTATATAGAGTTATCTCGTCCACCAGATGCCCAAACAGAAGCTAGCAGGTGCGCGTTTAACAATTTGTTGCAGGGAAATAGTATCAGATATGGAATCATGGTGGGGCATGCGCATCAAGCCGAACTGCTGAAGTTGTAAAATGGCGGCCACTTACGGGTCGGGCTCTCAAAGCCCCCCTGTAATAGGCAGGCCGTTAGAACGTGTTTTCGAGGAGGCGCAGCATACAGGGGAGGTTATTTTAAGTGGCAGAAAACTAAAGGATTACCCTAAGATTTCAACCAAATTCGATCTCGTCGACACAATCGTAGCAGGTAAGACTCTCTCAGCCTTGTCGGAAGTGAAGCGAATCCGCTGTGCTCCGACTTTCACATGTTTTCTGTCAAAGAGCTTTGAATTTACATTTACACCTAGACGCTTCTCATATGACCATGTTTAATCCACATGACAAATACCACCCATAAGTTGTCATTACGTCCGTTACTCCAAGAGCTGATCCCTGACAGTGGGTGCAGCGGAACTCCAGGCTGTCGAGAAAGTGCCCTGTGAGGAGTATTGGCTGATTCATCAACACAGCAGACAGACTGGGGCCTTTGTCCAAATAAGAGATATTTTGACAGTTCATTTTGTTTTATATATCACACCGTTTAGCTTCTGTTTGGGATTTATATCTGCATCCAATAAATATTGACACAGAAATAATTTTAAATTGACAGCAAAGAAATCATTCACAAAGACAGAATGTTCATGGAAGGAAAAGAAAGGTTATTTTTCTAAACAGTTTACAAACTCTTTTGAATAATTCTTCACAAAAAAATAGAACCCATGCTTCTCACAAGAAGTGACTTTATATATTGGGTGCTCAGGTTTGGTAACTTGCTTCATGGCATGTCATCGTAGCCCAATTTTGAGGATCGATGCTCATGATGTTGATCACTGGTTGGTCAGGTCCAGACTTGATTATTTACAGACCACCATCATATAGCTGAAAAATTGCAAAGTGCAGAGTTTAACAACAAACAAGACAATCTTGGGAATTAATGCTAATGTATCTGTCCAGGTTGATCCAGACAGATGAAACAAAGTAACATATCTTCTTTATTAACTTATTATCTATTCAAGCTGTATTGAATATGCTCAGATTGTCTGAAGCATTTGATGGTATTGCACATATAAGAGAAATTAACCTCAATATGAAATATTTACAATCAGTCTGAATACATTCTATTATGCTGCCTTTAATGTTTGGTCAATAGGACAGTGAGGTGTGGGGGCACATGTATAGCTGGGTTGCGTCCTTGGCTTTTCCTCACATCTGTTTTTGTCGTGTTAGCCATATAGTCATCAGTTATGGTAAGTAGTCTAATAACCATTTTTGTATGCCACGATGCCAATAATATTCCTGTATTCATGTCAATGATGTTTCAACTTATTAACCTATCTAAAATAAAAAATCATTCCCGGATTGAGAGAAAATGAAATTCACAGAATAGAGCACCATTCAGTTTTTGTCTATTTTGCCACTAGTAAGCATTATTCTGCCCCAATCCACATGCTCATATTTCTTCCTGAATGTATGAGCATCCATGTAATGTTACCAAGGAATGGTGCTCTCCAGATGATGTCTTCCCCCAGACAAGTTATACATTCTTATGGGAGGTAGCTACAAACCCATGTTGCTCACATCTGGACCAGATCTGAGCTTCGTATAAACAAAACTTTATTTTTTTTATCTATGCGTTGGATTGAATAAGAACAGAAGTTAAATTTCACTAAATCTGATTACATTTAGCATCTGTTTCAGCTTAGAATCATCCTTTTAAATTTGCCAATGTTTTACAAACCAGCTCAGTTGTTGTAAACTCTACCCTTGTCACATGTGTTGGCATTGTGTTCTAGTGCATCCGTGAAGTTGAACAATTTGCTGTAGCAGCCCCTTTATGCATGTTTATGATGTGCTGAGGAATACTTTGCTTGAGGCTCCACATTGCAAACCGATTTTGTGATTTTTGTCTGCCACACATTAAGATTTCTTTTAGTGCTTCACATTCATTGTTAGACAATGCTTTTGTGTCTGTGCATATTTTGTTGTCTCATGTGAATATTTTACTGTGCTCTCCAACAATGCAGGAAATGTGGAGGTACTTTCTGTTGCTAAAAACCTCAAGCGTGCCATAGGAATAGTCATGTCAGGGAGTTAACCACGATTCTTAACTAAGCCCCCCCTGGCATTCAAATTGGGGGGAAAATCGTTATTTTGTTCAAACTTGGTATATTTTAGAATTTAATATTTTCTTAAATTTAGGCTATTTTCAGATTGCATTTAATGCAATGATATAAAACAAAGTGTTTCAACCTCTTCCTATTTACTGGTCTTGTGATATGTGAAATACAGGTTACTTCTACAAATAAATAAAATTAGTTATTAGTTATATGTATTAATACATTGTAACATGATTGGGAAATTGCTAGTTCCAAATTTGGAACTTTTAATGACATGGACTGGATTTTCTGGTCCAGACTCCATTATTTACAGCAGTCGTCCTATAGCTGGAATATTGCTGAGTGCGGTGTCAAACAACAAACAAACAAAAACACAATATTCCATGACGTTGCCAACCAATCCATTAGATACAGACTTCAACTTCTAAGGGGATTATCCTGCCAAGTGATGGTCTTTTGACTCGTCATGATTTTCAATGTGTGAACAGATGCTTGATGGTCCCCAGATATGTGCAGCCAGTGTATTGGTTGACAGTCAATATTTACTCTGACTAGATGGAAACTCTGCTTAGTGCAACCCCAGTGTAGATCTCAAGACAAGCTGTGGACTTGTGTAGATGTTTGTGTGATATTTTAAGGTGCTCAGGATGCAGCATGCTGCTGTTGGTTAACATCTTAGAATAGATGTAGGACCATTTGACGGGGACTTTAGCATTGGATTTGATCATGTGACTGAGATCAATGCGTTTGAGGAGGGTTTAGAAACCTAGGAATGCCCCGTTTTCACTCGGCTTCACAAAGCTGTGAACAACCAGCTCATTTAGCTTCTTTGTGATAAAAGAACTCATTTTGCCATTTCCAGTTTATTTTTTGTGTGCATGGTTTGGCTTTCTGCTTTCGTCATATTAGTTGGGACAGTCTTGATTTATGGGATAGATTCAAGATTGATATTGATTATTTTTTAATTCAGCTGTAATTGCAACGGGCAATATTAATGATTCATCTATTGACGTTTTAGATCCCCTTCAGGATAATACTTTCTTTGGTCAATGATTTTTCCTTGCTTGAGTTTGTAATGTTTTCTTTGGGTTGAGTTGGTTGTTATAATGAGACATGTTATCTTAAATTTGGGCTCACAAATTAAAATATATAAATGAATATTGTGGTATGCTGGTACAACCTACGTCTTGGTATTGGAGTGAGTGAGTGAGTATGGTTTTACGCCGCTTTTAGCAATATTCCAGCAATATCACGGCGGGGGACACCAGAAATGGGCTTCATACATTGTACCCATGTCGGGAATTGAACCCGTGTCTTCGGCGTGACGAGCGAAGGGTTTAACCACTAGGCTACCCGACCGCCCCTCGTGGTATTTGAGAACCAGTGCATAGTACAGGTCTATCAACTTGTGAAGTGTGGTGTACAGTTCATTAAATAAACCTCAGTGAAGATTCATTTTATCCATTTTGGGCTACCTTCTGCATCAAGTAAGCCACATGAGTAACTGCAGGAGAACTATTTTCCTTTTTCAAACTGAAGTTTTCTGTGAAGGTAACATGCATGTGGATTAGCATAGAAGAGGGTATTTGTTCAAGATTACATTCAACCATTGGTGTGAATTACAATTCTTCAGCCATTGAGGTCATGGCCCCTACACAGCACTAGCACAAAGTATATACAGCTATACAGGATGTTTTCACTCTGTGACAATGTTGATATCTATTTTGTGCTGTGGATACCTTACAACTAAGTCTGTGTAACAGTATGTTTATAGACATGGCATATGATACTGATAGTTATAAAATTATGATACTATTGGTTTGAAAACAATTGATATGTACAAATCCATTTCATGGTTATTTCAGTATTCATGATGTTATTAGCATTTATTATTCATGAATATCATGTAGTGAAATGTTTCTTACAATGGAGAGCAAGTGGATGGACAAAATTAGATGATGAATAAAAGTTTTGAAACTTACAAATTGTACGAATCATTGATGAGGTAGATTGAACAGAGTAATATTTTCTGGCATCATGCAATTTTGGCTCAACTTGTCGAGAGTTAATTTGTCTCTAAATCTGTCCTGATCATGTTCCAAATATGGACAGCTGCAAACTTCTTCCCTAATTTTAAACACTACTGTATGTTATGTGATAACGACCTTCCTGTTCTCAGCACAATTGTATTAATTATTGGGGTCATAATTTGAAAGTTCTATGTTATAGATTATATTAATTCTAAAGTTGTAATGAAAGTTATAAACATTGATATACACAATTGAATACAAATATAGAGTGTAAGTGATATTGTTCAGTGTGTCAGACATGAAATAGCATGTTAATTTAAATCTGAATAAAATATGTCTTATCAAACATGTGATAATGGCCGTAAGTAACATCCTGGTTTGACAGTTGACAGTATTCAACACTTCAACACTGCTATTGTGCTGACGTAGCATATAACCAATCTCATCATAATGTTTTTGTAGTCAAATGTGTGTTACATGGGATACAATGGGCTCAAAAGCATTGAAGTAATGCAACGATGTTCCAGACACACATTATCATAATCAATAGCTAGGTGATACGGTGCACAGTCCAGATGGCCAATCCTCATGCAGCTGCTGTGATAGTTTATTATCTAATTATGTTATAACACAATACATCATGAAGGTATATTCGTATAAAAACTTTGTCTTTTTTTTTTAAATTGGATTATGGGAGGTCCATTTTTTCACATGACCATAGCTAATCAGGGTTTTACCTTGACCTAAAAAAATTGGGGTCCCACAATAAATTGATTTCAAGCGACGTTACAGGAAATATGAGGATGTTGTAAAGTAATGACATGGTGTACGTTTTGATAATTTCTTTAATTACAGGACCTTTATATATCTTGTGTGGGGCACAGGTGGCCCAATCGTCTAAGGCGCCGCGATTTGCTGTGCAGAGTTGCGTCCCTTGGGCAGGCCAGAAACCTAAGATTGTGGGTTCAAATCCTGGTTCGCCATGATTATGGTTCTAGGTTTGTCAGCACCATACCGGTGCTCGTGGGTTTCACCGAAGTGGTAAACGTCTGAGACCTGCA